AAGGAAGGAAGGAAGGAAGGAAGGAAGGAAGGAAGGAAGGAAGGAAGGAAGGAAGGAAAGAAGGAAGGAAGGAAGGAAGAAGGTATCTATCATTGAATGGTTCAGTGCATGGAATGGCACAAATAGGCTACACATATACTCACATCGATCACAAATATTACATGTAAAATAAATCAATATTTAAACATTAGCCCTTCAGCAATGACATCTAGTGAAAATGAGTTAAATGAAATACCAGAATGAGAACCCAAATAATGGTTATAAGTATGTTCAAAGACACAAACAACTGGACAAATGAGGAAGGTGATCAATAATGTGAAAGAGGAACTCAACAAAGAGATAGAAAAACCAATCTGAAATGCAGAAATTAAAGAAAAAAATTGTCAAATAAAAAGAACTGTGGATAGCCTCATCAATTGACTGGATCCAGGAGAGAACTGAATATGTGAGCTTGAAAACAAGTGGAAGAATTGGAACAATCCAACAAGGACACAGATGAAGTAAGTCGTAGCTGCCAGTGAGGATTCCCAAATAGGCACAACACTGAAAAGAACACATTTAAGGGTGACAGGCATATGTTCTATGGCAGACTTTTCCTGTAGAGAGGCGACACACACACACCCTCCTCACCAGAGGGGAGCCACAGAAGAGAAGGATTGCACCAAGTCCAACTTAGTGAACCAGTGAGTTTTTACTGTGGTCATTAACAGGGATGTAGGTGAGGGGTTGGTTGCAGGAACAAGAGTGACTCAAAACAGCAACTCCTGAAATGACTCACAAAAACTGGGTCCACGGAGTTTCCTGCGCAGCTGCAGGCAGGCAGCTTAATTGTCTGAGAGTTTCTCCTCTTGGCAGTTTAGTGGGTCAGTGTCTCCGCCCCTGGCATTGTTTTCTACCTTCTATAAATCTGGGAAGGGACTTCACGAATCTTGCAAATATCTACTTTCCCAAATGTCTTAATTAGGGTCTCTATTGCTGTGTTGAAACACCATGACCAAAAAGCAAGTTGAGAAGAAAAGGGTTTATTTGGCTTACACGTTAACATTGCTGTTCATTATTAATTGAAGGAAGTCAGAACAGGAACTCAAACAGGGCAGGATCCCCAAGGCAGGAGCTGATGCAGAGATCTTGGAGGGGTGCTGCTTACTGGCTTGTTTTTAATAGCTTGCTCAGCCTGCTTTACTATAGAACCCAGGACCACCAGCCCAGGGATGGCATCACCCACCATGGGTTGGGCCCTTCCCCACTGATCATTATATAAGAAAATGCCTTACAACTGGGTCTCATGGAGGCATTTTTTTTTCAGATGAGGCTCATTTCTCTGATTACTCTAACTTGTGTCAAGTTGACACACAAAACCAGCCAATACACCAGACACATAGCGTTTATCTCCAGAGTCCCATGAACCTTCTCCTCCCTCAAGGATGGAATGTTTCCATTCAGAGGAAACTGCTATGCAACAGCACAGAAGAAGGGAAATCTTTTCACAAGAATAACGGGAAACTCCCCAGAGTTGGAGGAAGAGATGCCAATGTAGATAGAAGAGGTACTTATAACACTAAACAGACAAGACCAGAAAGAGCCTCCCCTCATCATATACAAACAAAACACAAACACTCAGAATGAAGAAACAGTGGTGAAAACTGCAAAAGAGGAACACCAAGTCACCTATAACTTTTCCTGGAGAGACACAACTCACCCCAGATAGAGAGCGCATGACACACTGAAGTATGGACACCACCAAAGTCCAACTTGCTGAACCAATGAGTTTTATTGGATCACTTACAGGAATATGGATGAGAGTTTACTAACGGGAACAGAAATGACTCAAAGAGAGCTGCATCACCAAAGCCCATCCTAGCATGGGTGACAGCTCACGAAGCTGGGAGCCTGGAGCACACTGCACAGCCTGCAGGCAGCTCAGCAGGTTCCTACTAGGAACATACTGCTGTTGTCTTGCTAAATGGACACATCACCACAATGCATGTACATGCATTGGTGCTTCTCTCAGGCTTAGCCAGAGGATCCCCCTTCAGTGGTCAGCAGTCAATGCAGAGATTTGAAACTATTCAAAGTGCTGCAAATATGTAACTACTGATTGCTTAGCCCAAAAACAGGACCTCTGGATCAACCTCCTACCTGCAAGACTCAGGAAATATTGTGGAAGAGGGGGAGGAAAGAAAGCAAGAGATGGAGGATGAGGAGGGTTGCTACGAAAGGCATGGAGGAGGCATGGAGATAGCACTCAGGAACAAACTGCAACCATGGTCACCTGCACATGATCAAGCCACCAAGATCAGTCAGCATTTCAAAAAGCAGCATTAACTGGACTCAAGGAGAAAATAAAAATGACAGAACCCAAGGAGGGAGAGGGACATGATGGGGAGCCTGGAGGATGTGGGGGGGACCAAGGGGAGAGGGACATGATAGGAGCCTGGAGGATATGAGGGGGCAGTTGAAAGAAGATATAAACATACATTGAAAGTCTGGATGTCAGTAAACCCTGATAACACTTTAACTCCAGAGCATCAGGAGCTCAAAGGCAGAAGTGAGAAATATTAGTTTCTAGATCAATGAAATATAGTTTTTGCCTCCTTTTTTTTTATTTTACAACACCATTCAGTTCCACATAATAGCCACAGATTCCCCTGCTCTCCCCCTCCCGCCCCCTCCCCCTCCTTCCAGTCCACCCCCCATTCTCACCTCCTCCAGACCAAGGCCTCCTTTTAAACATCTGCCTTTTGTACTCAAGATTTCTAGGATGTCAGAGCATTAAGTCATAGGAAAAGGAAGGAAATTTTTTGGTAAAGAGTCATTAATGGCAATGGTAAGTGGGCTATTCCTATTTCCACAACTTGAATCCTGATTATTAAAGAAAACTACCATATAATAGACACCAATTCAGAATAAAAGGCTTTCCAGAGATCCTTGCTACATCCCTCTAGGCTATCCAGCCCTTGCTGGTGGTAACTCTACATTTTTAAGATGTATTTTTAAAATGTATGTATGTTCACATACTCATCTGTAGGTGAACACAGCACTGCATTGGGGCCCAGACGAAGCAGGCCCTCCCAGCACTCTGCATCCAGGACCCTGTACCAAGGTTTTGTTCTAGCTACAACTGCCCACTTTTTCATTTGCCTGTAGTGGGTAGCCATTCCAGCTTGGATCTGGAAGTTCCAACCCCCATTGAGACTCTGGCAACTGTCACACCTACGAGGCGGGGCGAGGGGAGGTGCCTGGAGAGCTGGATGGGCCAGCACTCTCTCTGTGCCAGGACGCTGAACGGTGAAGGTGGACTGTGCAGAGCTCCGGAGAACACCGCTGGATTGCAATACACCTTCCCCAGACTTAATTTGTGAGTTACGCCATTAAATAAATATCCTTTTAACTACGTGGAGTGGCCAAAATAATTTCTCCAATATCTGGCGCCCAACGTGGGGCAAACTCCAAAGGCCTGGGCGGCTCCCGCCCTCTCCTCCCTAGCT